CTGTGCTGAACCACTCGCTGAATTTGGGATGCTTGGAGTTTGGCTAGTGAAGGACACAGTGAAAGACGATGTTCATAGAGTGTGATACTAGTGTTTTGTGTTGTGTTCAAGAGATGATACTTGGAAAGGAATCGACATCTACAGTTATAGCAAAGTCATCATGTCATTCCCCTGGCGGAAAGCAGGTTCGAACCAAAGTATTGCGGTTTTCAAAAGCATAACCGGATCCCTGGAATTTGTTTTACTACAATGGATAACATCAGGTGTCTTACTGAAAACCTGAAAGACGAGATGACGAGACTGAAGCTTTCTCATATGGCTCCGAGGAGTACAGATGTTTATAGTCACCCACGTGGAACCTTGAATCATGATTCTGAATGTGTTGAAAATAACGATTCATATGAAACGATAATCATAGTCTGTATTTGGTGAGAACGGATACCTGGAAATTTCGAACCGAAAGTCTCATAGCTAGTAAACATAGTATTGCACTAAAATTGGAAATTGTGGTGATGAATCCCGGAAGCTATGGCCCAACAACCGACTCATTTGCCGTAATAGATCTCTGTTTCGCCGCCTTTTTTTCTTTCTTTATAGCCCTCTTTGGTTGCTTCAGCTGTTTCCTTATCCTCTTTGCATCAGCCTTGTATTCTGTCAGCACAAAACCACTGTGCTTGGCTGGTGCTGGAAACTCCGCAGGCACCATAATGGGCGTGTTGACTTTTCCAGCTATAGCAGAGCTCTCTTGTGTTAGACAATCATCCGGGTCCGGAGTACTGTAAGCGCCGGCGGCTTTGAGACGCAACGGAAGTTGCTCAACTTTGCCATCTCGAAAATCTTGATTTCCAGCCCGTTGCTTAACTTCCCGAGACCCACCACTGTCTGCGGCCTTTGCTCCATGGTTGTAATCGGAAAGGAAATGTTGATAACTGATGTTTCCAGTCTTATGCAAATCTGTTTCATCACGGACAAGAATGTGGACGAATAGTCGGAATACCATGACAAGGAGAAGTATACAATGTGCAGGAAGCTTGACCAGAAGAGTCAATTCATAGAAAACGTTGAGAAGGGTTCCGGCCGCTTTCAAGTATGTTCCTTTGAGCAGTGTAGATATCTCTGAAATGATGACCTGGTCAACTTTTGTTTGTACTGCCCATTTCGTTGATACTGTATTGTGTCAAAAACATGTACTGTTGCTGCTGTTACTGGTTTCAATTGCAACAAACCTCTGTACTTGCTTATAGTCCTCCATGCACTTTCACTCTGTGCCATGGGTTCGAACTTGTCGTACCAAGAAGAGGTATGATCAACCGGCCAGATCTGATACCGAAAGGATTCTGCGCCTTTAACGGTAGGGTGCCACAGGAAAATCCGACCGACGGGTCGATTTCCTAAGCAACCTCGGATAACAGGGAGCTCAATGTCCTGAAGGTTTGTCATTTCTGATGGATGGAAACAATCAGGCGGTGTAGGTGTTATGATTGTCGCAACTTCCCCCTGGGATATGCGCCACGCGAATATGAGAGATGCGCCCTTGATGTACTTGCTCCACGCGTTTGTGGATTTCTGGGATTTGAGGCATGAGGGATTATCTGGATCCATGAGTGGCCCCATAGCGACTCGCAAAGTCTGCATTCCATCTTCTTTGGCTATTCTGTGAACCTCATCATGGTCGGTACCGCTCCAAAGGACCTATTGATTCTTGAGCCACCCCTTGCCATCGAATTGCTCGATAATGTCGCATGCCTCTTGTAGACTAAGATACTGAGGCCATACTGTGCATAGAAGTGTATGCTGATCCAGTATCTTCTGTGATGCCCAGCAATCTGGTTTATATGATATGGCCGTGGCGGAAAGGACACCCATGATAGTGTGTATACTTTGATCCAAGGAGTTGATGACAATATGAATGATCGGGCAGCGTAAATGAGTGGTTGTATGAGATCTTCTTCATCTTATGGAACTTGGCATTCAATAACCGTTTGCCTCGGTATCAGGAGCTAGAACCTTTGACAAGAAGAGTCACTGGTCTCGAGGAAACTTAATGAGAAGTTTGATCTTATCTTACTCCCACGTCGAGATAAGAGTCTGGAGCCCGGTTGGCCACGAAGAAAAAAGCCTTTATGTAGACTACGTCTAAAATTTTGGAGTTGAGTTTGACATCACCATCGAAGAGGGCTGGCAACCGCATAACAGCAAAATGGCGCGATAAGGAAAGAGTTTCACAAGCGTAAATGTGATTACTACCAATCTTTGATCCATTCGGATAGTTGTCGGCGTGTATGTAAGGACTGCAAGGCTTGATGTCTGATCACTAGATTGTAGCTTCGATGTGAACTGGACCAGTTACTTCACTAGTATCCGGAACAAGTTCCTGAGAGTTGCTCTACCGGTGACAAGTTATACTGGCATATTACTAAGTCGAAAGATATGAACCACCGCAGTTAAAAGCTCTGAAGGAGTTTTACATCTGAACAGCATGACTTCTAGTTGATAAGCAAAACCTATACCGTAGGGAATGAGAGTGTTCAAGGGACGTATTGCCATCGAAAATAACCCTGATATGTAGAGCGGAGATTCTGATGGAAAGTACCGTATTGCCGAGCGGTGTTATGTATGAGCTGATAGATTAGTTTACCACGTTTAAACTACACTTTATGGGGCTCCCTGCAGTAATCTGGTATATGTTCTAAGCCTAAGATACGTCTTCTGCGACACGCGTTCCGCTTGACGGTTTTCGGATTCTCTGGTACAGATTGATCCAAAGACCAAAAAAAGTGATTGAACAAGAACAACAGAAATATAATCGTATAGTTCAATCAATAATCTCTGATTGATAGGGCAGGCAGCCTTACTACTAACCTTCTTGAGATATTTCCCTACTCATCATGCTTTATTCGACTCAATTGGGTAACTCCCACTGACTTTGTTGCAGCAGACCAGAAAGCTAATAGAATGCAGAGCAATGTAGCCGAAACAGCTTCCACTGCTTCTATGATACTATTTGTGACCTGCAATAGGCGTGAATGCATACGAAAATTGCTGATTGACCCCAAGTTGTTATTTATATAGCTTCCAGGTGTTCCTCTCCATCATTTTTTGAGTAACTGTATAGAGCTGGAATGGATAGTGGCCATTGTCCAGAGAGACTCAATTCCCTTTCAACTGTTGCAATGGCTACACGCACGTGTGATGTCATTGAATTGAAAGTGACCATGTCATCCCAATGGCTACTAGTTACTGCTGGGACCGCTTCAGTCGTAGGGTGGAGTTGCAAGTTGGAGCATGTGTGGCAAGCGGCGACAGAAATACAACATTCCATATACTAGCGAGCGTCGTCTACAAAGCTCTTGTCGCAGAACCATATAGTGGACTTTGCATGAAAGCAAGGAGGCTTCTTGAGCTCAGTCCATGTTTCTGCGTCAATCGCCAGGTATTATAGTAATTTATGGAATTCATGCACGCTTGACTGGGATATCAATGTGAAAACCACCACCCCGGCAGAAACAATGTGTCGATGCTGCCATCAGCCTCCTCTTTGTGGTTTGTGATAATAGCTTTTAGGCAAACGTGGGGTTTCCCATCGCTCTTAAAGGCAATGTCCATATCTGTATACTAAACTAACAAATATTCGAGCATTCGCATACCTCATCGAGTACAATATGGGCTCTGCTCTGGAGTATTGATATGGGAAGCCGTGCTGAAATTTTGCTTTGGGCCGAGCGTCAATTGGTCTTTGGCCAACTCAATGCGGCCTCTGTGGCTGCAATTAGTAAGATGCTAGAAAGGAGTTCATGTTTGGAGCAGAAGAACGGATTTGGTTTTGTACTCGAGGCCTGTCCAGGTACTCCCATCCAATCTACTGCTGTGCGTCGCTCCCGAAAAGGGGGACTGAAAGACCAGAATAGAAAAAAGTTCCACAGTGAGTAACGCTGCAGGGGGGGAGGGGACGGGGGGTTCGCAGCCGGCATTGACAAAGTCAAAGATTCCGCGAAAGTTGTTCAGTCAGAGACGGGAACAGGCAATGCTGCATTTCTCGCCCACTGGATAACGCGGTAAAAGGCGAATTTTGGGAGACCGGTCTAAAGCGAGGAAAGATGATGGCACTTCAAATTTTGATTGATGCCTCAGCGTACCCGTTACGACACTCTTCAATAGGCCGCATTGACATATCTGTTACGCAACGAGAGCTAGGATGAAATCTGGGTGGATTATGGCGACATCGCAGCTTTTTCCAACAGTTTGCCCGACTAAGCTTGAACACCCTTGCTAAGCTTTCGGCCTTTCCGTTCCGTAGAACAGGTTAGAAGGGGAAGTGGTATCAAATTTCATCCCTTGGGCAATGCTCTTTGTGCTTCTTGAGATGTAACCCCCACATTTGGCAATCGCGCAATCATTATCATGACAAGGGTAGTTGGCGGGTGAAGACTGATAAGTACGGTGGTTCCGGCTCGCCTCCGTATCTGGTGCGGGGGTTTGGCCGTTGAAGTGGGCGATGTAACAACAACCCGTCCTTGAACATTCCTATCATACGTGTTTCGCAAACAACTGATTCAGTACACGGCAAGTTTAATCTACCAAACATGCAGTCTCTACGGATTGAACGGTGAAAAACAGTCAGCCTAACAGAATATGTCATTCAGGTCGATAGGATGGCTTGTTAAGGACACGAGTGCCTCTGCGTGAACATGCCATCCACCTCTCGGAGACAAGGATATGGCTGGAGTTCGAGCCTTTTGTCGCAATAAGCTTCCGCAAGCTCGCGATCACCCTTGGCCCCGCCTTGGCCTCCTCCTTGAAGCGGTCAAGTTCGATGGGGCGATTAAGCACAGTTTCCAGGGTCATATCTTGGGATGTAACGTATCGAACGTCTCACAGATAACATATTAGAGGAGGAGGAGGAAGCAATAGGTAGCAGGACCTGGGCTCTTTGGGTTCTCAGTAATCTGCCTCTCTTTCATCCTTTGCTGCCAAGCCAACCAAGAGCGAAGCCATCCACCATGGGTAAGACATGCGCAAACACTTTTGACAAGTGTTTAAGCAGCCCCGACTGATGCGTTTTACAGCCGAGAACGTCGTTGGCAACAGCGTGCAGAAGGTCGTCGAGCCTAGCTCCGACCAAAGCGTGCACCCCGAGAAGACAGAATACGTCACCGCTCTGGATCTTGAATCCCAAGATGCCTCTCTTGAGCATCCACGCTCCGTTGTAGACGACGAGTCTTACCCGGCCCCAACCGAAGAGGAGCGCTCGACGTTGCGTAAGGTCGCCGACTCGATCCCCATCACGGCATGGTCACTTTGTGTAGTAGAGATGGCCGAGAGAGCGTCCTTTTATGGCGTCAAGGCAGTCTTCAACAATTATCTCCAGTTTCCCCTCCCTGAAGGCGGCCCTGGCACTGGGGCCATCGACCCCTCCAAGCCCAACTCTCATGCTGGTGCTCTCGACCTCGGACTGCGGACAGCTTCGTCGTTAGGTCTTTTGTTCACCTTCTTGGCCTATCTGATTCCCATCTTTGGTGCCTGGATTGCAGACGTCAAGATTGGTAGATACAAAGCCATCGCATGGGGTGTCATCATCGGAGGCGTTGCCCATGTCATCATGGTGGGTGGTGCTGCTCCTGCTGTCTTGCAGGGTAGCAAGGCAGGTGCTGTCGCGGTGTTCCTCATCAGCTACTTTCTTCTTGCCTTCGGGGCCGGTATCTTTAAGCCCAATGTCGTGCCGACTGTTATCGATCAATACAAGCACCAGCGGGAATACACGAAGGTGCTTAAGACAGGAGAGAAGGTCATTGTCGACCCTGAGACCACCGTCAACCACATCATGTTGATCTTCTACGCCTTCGTCAACATCGGCGCTTTCTTCTCCATCGCGGTCGTTTACATCGAGAAGTACCACAGCTTCTGGCTGGCCTTCCTTGTGCCGGGAATCGTGTACTTCCTTTTGCCGGCTGTGCTTGGTGTCACTTACAAGCGCACCATCAGAGTTGCGCCCCAAGGCTCCGACCTTAACCGTTTTGTCAAAATCACTACCTTGGGTCTCAAGGCTAGCAAGGGCAATATTTTCTCAAAGAACTTCTGGGAGAACGTCAAGCCCTCCGCCCTGGCGGAGCGAGGCGCCCATGTCGGCTATTCACAAAAGGATGTCGATGACGCACGCCGCACGTGGCAAGCCGTTCAGATCTTCCTGTACATCCCCATTTGGGCCTTGAACGACGGTGGCGTTGGCAATGTGCAGAGCAACCAGGGAGCCGCGATGACATCTAACGGAGCGCCCAACGATTTGCTCAGCCATTTCAACCCCTTGGTTATCATTATTTTCTCCCCGCTCATGGCAAATGTCGTGTATCCCTTCCTTGAACGCAAAAACATCAAATTCGGCCGTATCAGCAGAATGACGGTCGGATTCGTTCTTGCTACGATCTCATCCGTGATTGGTGCCTTGGTTCAATGGCGCGTATATGAGACAAGCCCTTGGTAGGTGTTCATTTCTCGGAATTTTGAGCCGCAGACGGTGCTAACATATCTTGAAAAGCGGATACAGTGCAAGTAACTGCGATGGCGTCTCGCCTCTTTCGATCTGGTGGCAGATCCCCAACGTCGCCCTTGGGGCCATGTCTGAGATATTTATCAATGTTACAGCTTATGAGCTGGCGTACGCTCGTGCCCCCGAACATATGAGATCAACTGTTGTTGCTCTATTTCTTTTTATGACGGCTTTGAGTAGTGCTTTGGGTCAGATCCTGCTGCCAGCTATTGCGGACCCGACTCTCATCTGGGCCTGGGCTGCTCCTGGTATTGCTCTGTTCTTCCAAACTATCGTGTTCTGGGTCAGGCATCGCAATATCAACGATGATGTTTTCATGACCTACAAAGAGGACTATGAGAGTACCAACGCAGGCGAAAAGGTTGTCGAGAAAGAGGAGAAATAAGAGATACTCAGTCTGGTGCAAAGTGCCCTGGTCTGAAAGTTTGCTTGATTGGCCGTTCAATCTAAATCAACCAATCTTCCAGCCCGAGGCAAGATACAGCGATGATCTAGTTTCAGCAAATACAGAACCACATTACACCACCGTGGATGTGTTTAAAGTTATCTTGAATATGATGTCAGCATATATGGTCTTATTCTATGGTTCTGCCAAAATAATCATAATAATTTACCCACAGCCTAAACAGTTATAAAAGCAACAACTACGTAGTTGATGCGCACTACAGTTGTTACCTCCACCTAAGGTGGTTTCATACAAAATACCTTTGGTCATTGGGGCACAACCTTTTTGCTGACGGCGCTTGATGATAAACATATACGACTGTGATCATATGGTGCTCAAGGCTCGCCTGGAAAACAAAGGTTTACCTAGAATTTCTATAGTAAAACATGCGAAGTGATACAAATAGGATGTAAGAAGGCGTTTAGAGGTTGGTGGACATTTCTGAGCCAAAGGAATCTATCAGCAGAAACACAGTCTTCTCGCAGTTTGATTTGCTGACCAAAATACAAGGAAGAGGGGCCCGGGGGTTCAGTTGACAATTCTAATCCCCTTTTCCCATTCAAAGACAATGCCACCTTTGTGGAAGAGCAAACCGTAGATGTATTCAGTTAAGTGACTGCGTTTACTTATTGAATTTCTGGGTAGAACCTATTATTTGACATCTGTATGTGCAAGTAGCGACATAATAGGCTATATCACACGTGAAACTTACCACGTTGATGGATCTCCAAGCACCGTCCACGTGGGGACGCTCACTTTGCGATATTAGCATCAACCACAGTTTCCGCAACCTATGCATTCTAGCTTGACAATTATGTACAGCTATTAGCAAACGTTCAACGATCATTCTCCTAAGCAATGTTTTGCTTTTGCTCATGGTAGTGATGAGTGCACTTTTTTATTACGAAGTGCGACTCGGAGAGACTTTCATCGATTGACGCTATCAAGGGTACCCCAGCCAGTGTTCGCATAAAGATTGTCGGACGATGGCAAAGGAACAGGGTTTAAATTGTTGCATAATCGGCGCAATACAAGCCATTCACAGTTCCGAGACCCCGCAATCTGTCATCGTCTCACGGTACAACCTCCGAAACAAGTGCCATCCCTTGACGTGGTCAGTCGTGGTCGTCAGCCTCGTTGCTGATCCTGGTCGACCGTAAGAGAAGACCGATTAGTAGGGACGACTCTCCTGCTTTGCGCTCGTACAGAGAACCCAAACTCTCAGTTTACCCAGAGATTTCGACTGTGCAACTTCCCACTTCCGGCCATTTCCGGCCTCGACGAGTCCGACGATCTAGGCGCCAGGCTAGCGACAGTTCCCATCGATCACCCGAACCATGCGGCTCCGCTACATCGCTTTCTCCCTGCTTATGACATCGGGATCGGTTCTTGCCGGTGAGCTCCTCTCTTCCAGTGTTTGCTCCTGTAGTTTTACCCAGGCTTACAGTCTCATAGCACCGAGACCTCGAGGCGAAGCCCTTCCCATCATCCTGATTCCACGCGTATCGAAGAGTGTCCCGAAGACAACCCAACCTTCCGGTGAATATATAGCCTCGACTGGACGAGCTTGCGGCAACACAGTGGAGAAAGGTGTATGTTATCATGGCAGATGCGGCATCTTCGTCGCTCCCACCGGATTCGAAGCGATACCCGAAACCGAGTCACAATGCTTATGATCAAATACTACTTGTCAGTTGTCTACACGCTTACCAGTAGCAGCGCCTATCTGGGGTCTCCAACTGCCACAAGCTCATGGTGTGCCTTTGCATTTGGCCATTTCGATTGCCAACGGAACATAATCAAGTCCCAAAATTACGACGGACACATCCTATATAGTCGCGTTTACATCCAAGGAATCGTTTACAATACCCTCAGTAATGACCCTCTAGGGTCATAGTAACAGTTTTGGAAACGAGGTACTCCTCAATAGCCACATCCTTACCAGACTCCTTTCCGTACCCGGAGAGCTTCATGCCGCCAAAAGGAGACTCCGCCGCCGACGAGTTACCGGTGTTCATTCCGATCATGCCAGCCTCAAGTTTCTCCATCAGTCTCCACGTGCGATCAATATTCTTCGTGAAAAAATAGCTGGCAAGACCCATACTCGTGTCGTTGGCCCATTGAACTGCTTCATCCTCGGTGGAAAAGCGATAGACTCCCAAGACCGGCGCGAACGTCTCCTCTCTACTTATCAGCATGGACTGCTTCATGTCGCGCAGGATGGTAGGTTCGTGGAAGTACCCAGCCGCCAAACCGGCCTCTGCTCCCGCGCGACCACCGTGGACAACCTTCGCGCCCGCTTCAACGGCATCTTTAACATGAGCCTGAGCTTTGGGAATGGCTCGAGGTGTCGTCAGGGGACCCATAGTGGTGCCAGACTCGGATCCGTGTCCCATTTTGATCTTCTTGGTCCGCTCAACCAGTTTCTCGAGAAAGTGCTCGTAGATGCCATCTTGGACATATACCCGGTTTGCGGTAATGCATGCCTGACCGGCGTGTCTCCATTTGAGTGCAAGTAGCTGCTCGAGCGCCTGGTCCTGGTTGCAGTCATCAAAGATGATGAATGGGCAATTTCCTCCGAGCTCGAGGGTAAGCTTTTTGAGCCCTTCAGCACAGTGCTTCGCAATCAGACTTCCAATGTTCGTGGACCCGGTGAACGACACCTTTTTCGTCAAGGGGTGCTTGCAGAGTGCCTCTGCAACTTCCGGCGTGTTCTCCAGAGACGTGGTGATGACGTTGAACACACCCGGGCCAAACCCAGCCTTGCTAGCCAGATTTGCGAGAATGAGGCAAGTCAGAGGAGTTTCAGGGGATGGTTTAGCGATCATGGTACAGCCTGCTGCTAGCGCGGCGCCAGCTTTACGCAGAATCATACTTCCCGAGAGTCAGTGCCTCAAGAATAGCAAGGAAAAGGCCATAGATACGCACGCGATCGGGAAGTTCCAGGGAACCAGCGCCACCGCCACGCCGATCGGCTGCTTAATGATAAGTACCCTCCTGTTGGGCGCGGACGGCGTCGATACGTCGCCTCGGATGCGCTCGGCTTCCCCGGCGAACCACCAGGTGAAGCCAAGGGCGTAGTCGAGCTCGCCTTGTGCTTCGGCTAACGGTTTCCCGGACTCATGTGTCAATACCAGAGCGATGTCTTCCCGGTTCTCGCGGATGAGTCGGTCCCACTCTAGGAGCTTCTTCGCGCGCGACCTCGGGTTCTCGAGGCGGTAAGTTTGGAACGCCTCATGGGCCGATTTGACGACGGCGTCGACATCGGAGCGGTCAAAATCTGGGCTCGAAGCAAAGACCTTGCCGGTCCCCGGGTCCTCAATGTCGAATCTCTTCTTTGAAGACGACGTTACCCAAGACCCGTGAACGTAAGCATCGGTCTTGAGGAGGTCGTCGTTGGCAAGCTGACTGTCGTTAGTAGGCTGGTACCTCTTGGACAGAGAAGCCAATGTCTAACTTTGAAGGGGAGATCTGCGGACATTTTCGCGATGATTCGCAACAGTAATCGACAAGTGGAATGAAATCGATCAACACAGATTGGTGGCCTAAATGATAGGCTGGTGCAGTATACTCCGTATATATGAATTGATGCGGAATTAGATAGCCGACTTAGGATATTTAACCGCTGTGACCCCGCACCCTAACATCTCTCACGTTGCTTGATGTCTCAGATGACGACATGTTGCTGAAGTGTCTACTGCTATGGCCAATAACCTAGAGCCTGGCTTCAAACTCGGGCCAAATTTGGTTACAATAGCCCCCCAATGACTGCTGACGGCCACCAACTTTTCAGTCCGTGTTGGGGCCAGATCTTCTTTCATAGCAGAGTACGATATAGTCGCGATTGATAGAAAACCTGACGAAAGATGTCGCGTCTGATATATCTATCTGATCTAATAGTCTGAACATCAATGCCTTTAAAATGCAATAATATTTCCCAGGGCGTAGTAACAAGCATGCTATGAAAATCCATGTAGATTAAGGACAGCGCTTATACTAGCAATCCGGAAGTCGATAGGGAATTTTGGAAGAGTATCATTAGTGTTTTATTAGTTAATTTAGAGTATTCAGGAAAATTGTGGTCGAGCTTTTCAATAGAGAATTTGTAGAACGCATGCTCAACAACTTCTAACTCAGTCTATAATATGCTGTAAACCTCCACTTTGGCCTGCCATGCCGGGATCCATCTAACGGCCAAGCATACTTCGGTCTAAACACTCTGAGTAGAGTAAACACAAGTTGTAAGAACATAGAGTCTAGCCACTTTGAGTAGATGTATGCGTAGCCAGCGCCTCGTCAACTGATACGGTGCAGGTGATACTGCGCCTAGATAAAGCGTTGCTGCCAAAGTTCCCAGCCGAACATAACCCTTTTTCTTCTCACCTCTTTCCATCCCTAGGTATGCTGCGTCGTCTCTCGAAATTGCAATACATTGCTATCCACTTCAACCCATAAGGGGGTACAGCAAAGGATCTTTCTCCCCAGGAAGGCTTTTGCCTGGATCATGGCATTCGCGGCGCTGGCCTGGATACTTCCTCTAAACGCGTCTCAATTCATGCTCAAGTACGAAGAGGAGCTTGTGGAACTAAAGCCTCTGGAATACGCCATAAATGGTGTCAGTTACGAGAAGAGCATCAGAATTGGTGCGGGCCCCACCGGAAGCCCGTCTTCCCAAAACGAATCTATTGAGCCGCCATCAGCCTCATCCGATGCGATATTACTTCACGTGAAGGTGAAGCCGATTCCGCTATTTAATGATGGATCCAACCCCGACAGACCGCTGGAGCTACCACAAGGACGACTGTATAAACGTGTGTCTTCCCTTTCTGGACTTCAGGGAGTGGCTGCCCAGTTGAAACCTGGCCCTCCCCGAACCCCTTTGCGTTCGACTGTCATCCTTGAAGACTTGGTTACTGATGGTCAGGGGATTTTGTGCCGCCTGGAAAGCTACGACTTTTTGATCCGCCCAACGAAGAGATCAGAAGGCAATTTTCTACAAATTCTACAACCCCGGAAGATCCATTTAGACAAGGAAAGTTGGCCGAGACGGCATTGTGGCTACATAGTACGTCATGTGAAACTATCCCAAAGCAGAAGCAGTAAAGTAAAAGGTAGAGTACATATCTCAGCTCCTCTGACTGCCAACATAGATAGCGAGATCATTAGAAAGGACTGCTAACAGTCTCGGCGGACATTGTGTGCCATGGCTTTGCGTCCGGACGCAATTTGTTAACCTAGCTGCGAAATCATGATATTCTAATACGAGGGTTCGTCAGCGAGCTTGAGAAACTCAATAATGAATACTGTCATGTACAAAATCAACACAACGTTCGACAAGTATTTATGTTGCAGATCTACCATGCCTACCTTAAGTCTTACGCCAAGTTCCTCGAAGAGTTCGAACGCCTGCACACTATACCGCGCATGCGTTGTCATTTCAACCCGCGATACTCGCAGCTTCGCGCGTGGACCTTGAAGGCTATTATGACTGATTCTATAATATACCGTCAGTTCGCTAGTTCTGCAAAGGATATCACGTCGACGTGCGAGTCCTTGCTGCAAATTGTAACAGCGATGAACGGAGAGCCCGATGACCAACTTGTATGGATTGCGGCTGACATCTGCGGCTGCTGCCAAGAGGTCACAACCTGCTTAGAGGGCATGTCTGGCGATCTGTAGCACCAGTTGGACTTGTTGAACACATCATGGAACGTCGACTAGTCCGACAACGTCAAGATCCCGACCTTGCTGGCTACTGTGTTTCTGCTGCTGTCGCTCTCTGCTGGCATCCTATGCATGGGCAGGCGATTCAAAGATTTGGGCAGTCTACTCCGCGACTTCATTTGGGTGGTCGTTCTGCTTGGGGCTTTGGTCCTGGTCATACTTCTCTTGTTCGTCCTCATAGGTTCCCTTCATGAACTCAAAAGCCGGTATCAGTATCGAACGTGGTATTTGACATGGCGGTCAAACATGAAGCAGCTTGGCAGATTGACCTTTCTGATGCTAGTGGGTTTAGCAGTAGCGTCCTTTGTTGTTGGCATGTTCAAGGAGGTTGGTCTTGGTGCGAAAATTCTTGGTTATGGCCTTGACTTAACGTTTGGACTACTGCTTATTATACCGGTTCTGATTTTCGTCGTGTTGATATGGAAGGGGGGATGATAGCGCTTGCGTTACACCCTGAGCGAAGCCACCCACAGAGGCTATCATTCAAGTCCAGTTACTCCTCAAGGAAATTCCAAGATGATCAGCTTGCTTAACGCCTTAAGTTACACAGTTAGAAATTCAGAAAAGATGAATCAGGACGCCTAAAACAATCTTTAAGACGTATGTCACCCTCACTAACGTAGAATACAGTATGGAAATAGCTTCCTGATTTATCTGCTATTTAAGATTGCGCTGAAAAAGGGTATTGAGAGCGTGGCTACTCCAACTGCTCTTCTGGGAAAGGAAACATTCTGCTGCAAGGACACTCAATCATCTTCATCATCGCTATCGTCTCCATCGCCTCCACTCTTCTTGTCTCCGCCCTTCTTCTTCTTCTTCTTATCGTTGTCGTCGTCATCGTCGTCGTCGCCACCTTTGCCAGGGCTAAACGCCGTGGCGCCCGCGGACGGGGCCAGCGGCGTTGGTGCTGCGAGGGCGGCCCAGGTTTCAAAGTCTGCGAACCGCGCGGCTTGAAGGTCGGCATCGAAGCCGTCGAAGCCCACGTTGTGGAAGTTGAGCACCGCGGCAGAGCTCCCCGGGTTCCCGACCGCCTTGTTGCCCAGCGCCCATCCCATTTCGAACGTGCCCGCCGTATCCGCAGCGCCCAACCCGAAACTGGCGTCCAAACACCCCTGGCACAGGAATGTGTACGTCAGGAAGCTGCCATTGACTGACGTCCCCCTAGCTATGGGCCGCACGTTGAACTTGCCCGTCACCTCGGGCGGGTTTTCGTCTTCGTTAGCGGCCTGGCGGAACGAGGAGAGCACCTTGCCGTCAGGCGACGCCCAAGCCGCCATGAGGAGCGGGCCCTCCATGTCGCTGGTCAGGGACCAGCCGCCCCAGCCAGCCGCGCCGCTGCCTAGCGGGAAGGACATTTGGCCGATGAAGGAGTCGTTGGGGTTCTGGGGGAGGGCGATGCCGAAGGCGAAGGCGGACTTGGCGCCGAAGAAGCGCTGGAAGGAGATGTTGGTCACCGGATCAGTGAAAGCTGTCGTTGCGCCATTATTGCGGATGTTGAGGGAGTAGGTCGGCGCTGCGAGAATGGTCAAGGGGAGGGTAATAAAAGCGAACAGGATGATAGAAGTGAAGAGGATGGTATTGAAGCAGGACTGAAGTCTGTAAGCCATCTTGGCGGATTTGTTGGCGCCTTGGAAACACGATGACTGCGGTGGCCTCTGGTAGTTGTGGACCTAAGACAGGGACAGAGAAGGAGTGGGATCAATCAAGTGATGGTGCTGCGAAGTACCAGTGGGCTAGATTGTTGCCTTGTCAAGGTCGATGATGGAAGGGTTAATAGATACGATGACTTCAAGAGAAAACTTGTCTCTTAAGTAGACAAAGACTCTGACCTTGTAGCGCAGTTCGCTTATCCAGCAATCCCAACAGTATCTGCTATCTTTTGTACTCGAACACCCGTTCTACGTTTCACGAGTTCTATTATCATCCACCTGAATTGAACCACTCCAGATAGGCAAAGGCTCCGGTAGAATTGCGCCAGGATCCAACGAAGCGGCTCACAAGTTTGAAGCCATCCACACCGCACAGGCATGTAGTCCGTCGTGCTGGCGTACCCCTTCGCAGATGATGTTGGCTCATGTCATTGGCCTAACAAGCTGTTGGGAAACACGCTACCCGCTGCCAAGAACTGGAGGACGTTTCGCAGCCGGTTCAACATGCCGCGATATCCCGAGCAGCCCCTTTCTGAAGCCTTTTTCTGCCCACGCGAGCACGCGACCAACTACTGGATGTGGAAAGTCGAGTTGCTGAGGCAACCCGAGGCGGATCGTCGACCATGATCATCTGCCACGGTCTGTCGACGAAGACGGGCTAAAGCGCCCAAAATGGCGTCGAACGGAGTACAACCGAAGCAGAAATGCTCCAGGACATGCCCCTAGGAAATATTATGGTTCTAAGTATAGCAATTGAGCTGTGGAGTCTTGACAGCCAGTCAACCCAAGAAGTGAAACGTGCAGTGTATGGGAATCGCCCGGCTAGAGGAAGAGCAGCCGATAAACTATATATGGCGAGAACCCCACACAGAGCCAGCGGAATGCGTATAAGATGATTGGCCGCGTTAATTATAGCCGCCTTTGTTGTTCTATTTGTGAATAGCGTCACATCTTTCTAGGTATCAAAGCCGGCGATGGCGACGATGCAGGCGATAAGGCAAGGCCCTGTTCCTCAAGATTCCGATCTACGGAGAGTAAAGATGGTCGAGCCCTGCGTACCATGAACGAACTGACCTCTCTACTGGCGATTGCACCCGACCGCACTTCAGCATTTTGTCGAGCAATGACTTTTCGCTGGGAGTTCCTCCATATCTTCAACAAGCCGCATCATGTTCTTGACAATTGCTTTCTCTGACCTCATCCCTCAAGGCCATGTCTCGTTTCATGAAAGCCCCAGCGAAATCAGCTAGCAGCATACCGAGGGCTTTGATTGTAAACCGAGTTGCGGGACGGCGGGACTTCATGTATTTCTGAAACCGTACTCGCCTTCTTAGCGCCGTGTTCACCCGGCCTCGCGGGGTATCAAGAACCGGTTGACCATAGCATAATCTCATCATGAGGCACATCAGCTCGTGCGCCGGCTAAAAAAGAGACTTTATACCAGCAGCAACGAAAACAGACACCTGCGCTTCTCGTGGATATCACATGCATCTACAAAAGCGCACTTCGGGACAGTGGCCCAAGTAACGTCAGCATTGCGAGGAGGATGGCCTGGGCAGCTCACAGAAGGGCCTCACGCGTGGAAGATATGGCATATCCGCTCCAAAGCATCTTCGACATCAACTATGCAATTATACATGGCGAAGGAAAGAAGTAGTTCCAAACGCTTCCAAGGAGCTATCATGATTATCCCGAATCATCATTGCTTCTTTGCATGGGGGACGCTTTTTCAGCGGCCGACGGTTCTTTTTGACGGGGACCCGTGATTTGGCGCCAACCCAACGCCATGTAAGTCCCCGGAGCCACGCGAGACTCGCCTGGGTCTTTTTCTCAGAGTATTCGGCCTTTTTCGCTGGTTCTGGAGACATCTTTCTTCTGTACCGCTCGATAACTCGTGAGATCCACCGGCAGCGCCCCGCCACTATGGCCAATGGCGGCATATTAATCGCATTGGTCATTAGGGATAAGTGATACAGATCTCGGTGGATTAATTGGGCTGTCCACACAGTCGCCATCCAAGACAAGGCGGTCAAGGCGGTATCACTGTACCGTATAGGCACTACATGACGCAGGTTGGTAGCGCTAGCGCTCTACTGTCGGGTGCCCGGAGCGGGGCCCCAGGGGGGCACCGGAGTGGGACTAGGACCGGATAAACTAGTCACTAAAGGAATAACAAAAAAGGAAAACTTTATAGAAGATAAGGGTAAGAGGAGGTATATTAGAATAATTATTATAATTAAACCCTAACTATGCTTATTACTAACTCCTTTACTTAATACTATCCCTACCTCTAACACGTTCTAATATCTCCTTATCTTTAGGTGTATTAACTACTAGAGTAGTAATAGTGCCTACTAGATCCTAAACTATAGCCTAGTAATAAGGGAGCACTATAATAGGACGACTAACGCCTAATATAACTAAGTCTGTACTAGTAAATAAGTAGTATGCTATTAACTTAAGTAAGTAATTAGAAGAAAAGCTAAGGGCCTTTCTAGAGGAGGAAGTAAAAAAGGTAAAAAAAAAGAAGATAATTAATTAAATTAAAGCCTTTTAAAGTAGTATATCTATAAAAGACGTATAAGAGGAGATAAAGATAACTACTAATCCCTAACTAGAGGCTAAGTAACCTTATACTAATATACTTTTAAAAAGATTACTTACTTTAAGGTATAAGGGAGGGAGCTAAAATAAACTATAGGAATTTTTATTTTAGTTAAAAATACGTTTTAATATAGTAAGAGATAAGTTTATAACTAATAATAATAAAGTAAGATATACTAATACTATACTAAAAAGTAACTTAGTATATAAATAAAAAAAGTATATAGGTTTTTATTATAAAAATAAGATTAGTAAAGTGCCTTAAGAAGTTATAAAGGACTAGCTAAAAGTAGACATTACTAATAATAATATATAAGCTTTTAGTACTACTATAAAGCTAGATACTATATAATAAGCCTTAGGCTAGTTATACTAATAATTTATTAATAAGTATAAGATAGTTAAAGAGGAGTGCTTTAACCCCTAAATAAAGAGGTAGTAAGTAGTCTATATTTTAAACTAGGTGCTCTTAGACCTAAGGACTTATATACTTACTAGGGGGCTACTAGCTACCTACTAGGAGTTAGATAATATAGTAAAAAAGGTAAAAACACTTACTAAGACCTATATAAGAGAGGTGTTAGGAGGATAGCTAAGGTAAGGTTAGGAGAGAAAAGGCTACTAGGGGGTAGTAGTATAACTAATAACTATAGATACCCCCTTAACTAAAGCTACTAGCACGCGCTTAATACTAATAGCTATAACGCTAGTAGGTATACCTATATTAGAGCTAGGGGTTAAGAAAAAAAAAAAAGGTATAACACCTTAGCTAAAGGGGACCTAAAGACTACCTATTTATTATAACTATAAGAAGCCTAAGCACTAGTTAGCTAAGTGTAGTAAGAAGAAGTACTATAAGTGTAAATAACTATAATACTTAAGGAGATAGTACGCCTTAGTGCTAATAGGGGTTAATAGTATTAAGCTCTCTTAAAATAAAAGACTATACTACTACTTTAAAGTAGATTTTTATACTAAGATAAGTAGTATATAGAAAAAAAAAAGGATACTAATTAATTTTAGTGTAAATAAGAACATACTATACTAAAAGATATTATATATAAAGATACTAGTAGAAGTAAGCTAGAGGGGCCTAGCGCTTTAAGGTATATAGAGAGGTAAGGCCCTAGACTATAGAATAAAAAGGGTAGTAATAGAAGTTATAGATAATATAGGGGTCTTAAGGACATAAAGCTATACCTTTTAAGTTAGTAATATAGCTAGGTATAACGCTATCCTAAGGATCCCCTAGGGATAAGTAGTATAACTAAATATAAAGTAGATAATAATTAGTTAGATATACCTACTAAGAAAAGACTACTTCTAACTTATTTAAAGTAAGTAAGAAATTAAAAAAGTATATAAAAAGTTAAGGGCTGTTCTAGCCTATTAACTAATAATCTACTACTTATAATATAAGGGGGATAAAGGAGCACTAAAGATACCTTATTATAACTAAGGAGAAGAGGTAGAGGCTAAATAAGATAAAGGAATAAAGGCCACCTTACTAGAGGCCTATAAGGAATAAGTATATATATTTAATATAGGCCTAGTAGCCTAGCTAGTAAGTAATAAGGGCTACTTATATATAATTAATTTAGAGCTAGAGGTAAAGGCGCTATTTAGCCTTATCTACCTATTAGCTAAGAAAAAACTAAAGGAATTAAAGATATATATTAATAAGTTACTTAAGAAAGGCTAAATTAGACACTTTATAAGCCTAGTAGGGGCACTAATCCTCTTTATTCCTAAGAAGAGAGGTAAGCTATGTCTTTATATAGACTATAAAGGGCTTAATAAAGTAACTATTAAAAATTATATACTACTACCTTTTATTAGTAAGATCCTTAACTATTTAGTAGAAGTAAAGTAGTATATAAAGCTAGACCTAAAGGATATATATTACTAAGTAAGAATTAAGGTAGGTAATAAATAGAAAATAGCTTTCTATACTTACTATAAACACTTTAAATATTATATTATACTATTTAGGCTAGTTAATATACTAGTAACGTTCTAGGTGTATATTAATAATACCCTTACTAGGCTAGTAGATATTATATATATTATTTACTTAGATAATATCTTAATCTTTATAAAAGATAAAAAAAGTTATATAGAAGTAGTTAAGTAGGTGCTAAGCTAGTTAGATGCTATAGGGCTATATATAAACCTTAAGAAGTGTGTTTTCTACACCTAGTCTATTAGGTTCCTAGGTTTTATAATATCTAATAAAAAGATTACTATAAAGTATAAGTAAGTGTAGGTAATAGTAAAGTAGCTACTCCTTACTAGTATTAGGGAGATCTAGGTTTTCTTAAGGTTTATAGGATTCTACTAGTAATTTATTAAAA